CGGGGCTGCATGCCGGAGGAGGAGAGCAGTGACGGGGAATCCGACGATGAGGTGAGGCGGTCGGAGGCGTCCCCGGCGCCGGGCGGGGCGGAGGCCAGGGGCTTTACAGGGTGCAGGGTGGCCCCGGAGGGTAGCGTGGGAAGCGGGGAGCTCAGGAGCCCTGCGCGGAGAAGTGGTCCTGCAAACAGACGTGAAAGAAGGTGGGCTGCCGGAGCTTTGGGTGGATAGGGCTTGTGAAAGTGCAGAGAAGCCGCAGCTGTAGCGAGGTACTCGGCTCAAAGCAGATCCTGCTGGTGTCCTGGGCTGATCTTCCCAGGTAGCAAAGGTAGGGCAATAGAGGCGTGGGGGTGAGGAGGCCGTGGGGGCTGCAAGCCCAACCAGCGATGGTTGACAGCAGCAGCATGGCTTCGCTGGACCTGGACGGGAGCCGTCTGGGGTCTTACCTGTGGACTGCCCTGCTGGGCCTCATACTCTGACACCTCCCTGGTTTCACCTGCGCCTCAGTTCCTCAGTCTGTTAAGGTAGAGTAGTAGTGTGGGGTTGCTTCTTGGCACACAGGTGAAAGAGGAATGACATGAAAACTGAGTTTTGAGTCTGGAAGATCAGAGTTCGGCTCAGGGTTTATCCCCCAGACCATCAGAAAAGGCAGGAAGGTATGGGTTGTGTTACTTAGGACAGTTAGTAATCACCGGAGGGCCCAGGATGGATCCCCGAAAGATAAACCATTGTGTTCCCCTCTCTCTCTGACTTGGGTGTCCCTACTCCCATCTTTATTCAGGAAGAAACTATGGTCTGAAAAGGTGTAAATAGAGGCCCCTCTTTGTTCTGAGTAAGAGTTGGCCCTAAGTGTGGAGGGCCTACTGCCTGACCCAAGGAGATTCTGTTGTGTTTTCTTCTGGGCCAGCAAACCAGTGGTGGCTGTGCTGCTGTGGCCTGCACTGGGAAAGGGAGTTGAAAATGTCTTGTGCCTCCATCCCTGGGGAGAGACCATTTTCTATTCCTTTCTGATGTTCCAGTTTTTTAGTTTGTTTATAATTAAGTAGGAGTACATTAAGAGGGAAGCTGGGATATTCCTCAGTACCTGAGTCCCAGGTGGAATCAGGGCTTTGGCACTGACTGCTGTTTCTCCCCTCCACCCCTGGTCACCTAAATCAGGAGTTTCAGGGTTTTCATTCAGATGAAGATGTGGCCCCCAGTTCCCTGCGCTCTGCGCTCCGATCCCAGCGAGGTGAGTGATGGGGAAACTCTACCTCCATAGCTTCACAGGAATGTTATTCTCACCTTTTGTGTCAGCTCTCCCTGTTTAACTAGTCTCCATCAGTTACTGAGTGTGTCCTGGGTTCAGAGTGTAAGCTAGGTTGGGCTGTGGGAGAAATAAATAAGTGAGACTTAGTCCCCGCCCTCCCAGTACACCTTCTTCAGTCTGCAGGGCCAGCTTGACCTGTCTCCCCACACCTATTCTCCTTTTAGGTCGAGCCCCCCGAGGTCGGGGCCGCAAGCATAAGACGACCCCCCTTCCTCCTCGCCTAGCAGATGTGGCTCCTGCCCCCCCAAAGACCCCTGCCCGAAAACGGGGTGAGGAGGGCACAGAACGGATGGTGCAGGCACTGACTGAACTTCTCCAGCGGGCCCAGGCACCCCCAGCCCCCCGGAGCCGGGCATGTGAGCCATCCACCCCCCGTCGGTCTCGGGGACGGCCCCCAGGACGACCAGCAGGCCCCAGCCGGAAGAAGCAACAAGCAGTAGTGGTAGCAGAAGCAGCTGTGACAATCCCTAAACCTGAGCCCCCACCTCCTGTGGTTCCAGTAAAACACCGAACTGGCAGCTGGAAGTGCAAGGAGGGGCCTGGCCCAGGACCTGGGACCCCCAAACGTGGAGGACAGCCTGGGAGAGGAGGCCGTGGAGGCAGGGGCAGAGGCCGAGGCGGGCTTCCCCTCGTGATCAAGTTTGTTTCCAAGGCCAAAAAAGTGAAGATGGGACAGTTGTCCTTGGGACTTGAATCAGGTCAGGGTCAAGGTCGACCTGGGGAAAGCTGGCAGGATGACCCCCAAAGAAAAGTTGGATCTGGACAGGGAGGGGGTCCTTGCTGGAAGAAGCAGGAGCAGAAGCTGGAAGAGGAGGGAGAAGAGGAGAAAGAAGAAAACGAGGAGGAAGAAGAGAAGGAAGAACAAACTGTGGTTGAGAAAGAGGTGATACTAGCCAAGGAACAGGAAGAGGCAAAGCCACCATCTCCACCCCCAACTCCTCCATCCCCTCCACCTCCTCCCCTCCCACCCCCCTCAGCATCTCCTCCACCTCCACTTTGCCCTCTACCACCTCCAGTGTCCCCCCCTCCCATACCATCCCCTCCACCACCTCCAGCCCCAGAGGAGCAACAAGAAGAGTCCCCTCCTCCTACTGTCCCTGTTACATGCTCCAGGAAGAGGGGCCGGCCTCCCCTGACTCCTAGCCAGCGGGCAGAGCGGGAAGCTGCTCGGGCAGGGCCAGAGAGCACCTCTCCTCCCACTCCAAATCCCAGCGCCGCCCCAGGAGGCCCTTTGGAAGACAGCCCCACTGTGGCCCCCAAAAGTACCACCTTCCTGAAGAATATCCGGCAGTTTATTATGCCTGTGGTGAGTGCCCGTTCCTCCCGCGTCATCAAGACACCCCGGCGATTTATGGATGAAGACCCTCCCAAGCCCTCAAAGGTGGAGGTCTCACCTATTCTGCGACCTTCTGTAGCCACCTCCCCACTTGCTCCCCAGGAACCAGCACCAGCTCCTTCTCCACCACGTGCCCCAACTCCCCCATCTACCCCAGTCCCACTCCCTGAGAAGAGACGATCCATCCTAAGGGAACCCACATTTCGCTGGACCTCACTAACCCGGGAGCTGCCCCCTCCTCCCCCAGCCCCTCCCCCAGCCCCATCCCCACCACCTGCCCCTGCCACCCCCTCCCGGAGGCCCCTGCTCCTTCGGGCTGCTCAGTTTACCCCAAGTGAAGCCCACCTGAAGATCTATGAATCGGTGCTTACTACTCCTCTTGGGGCTCCTGAAGCCCCTGAACCAGAGCCTCCTCCTGCTGATGACTCTCCAGCTGAGCCTGAGCCTCGGGCAGTGGGCCGCACCAACCACCTGAGCCTGCCTCGATTTGCCCCTGTGGTCACCACACCTGTTAAGGTTGAGGTGCCCCCCCATGGGTCTCCAGCTCTGAGCAATGGGCAGCAGCCTCCGGCTCAGCTACAGCAGCCTCCACAGACCTTGCAGACCCAGCTCCTGCCCCAGGCATTACCACCACAGCAGCCACAAGTGCAGCCACAGTTACAACTGCAGCAGCAACAAGCACCACCACATATACCACCACTGGAAAAGGCACGGATTGCAGGCCTGGGTTCCCTACCGCTGTCTGGAGTGGAGGAGAAAATGTTCAGCCTCCTTAAGAGAGCCAAGGTGCAGCTATTCAAGATTGACCAGCAGCAGCAACAGAAGGTGGCGGCGTCAATGCCGGTGAGCATGGTGTTTTAGCCAGGCCCTTGTTACCAGTCCACCCAGTTGCCTCCCTAAATGCTCTCTAGCATCACAGGAAACCCTCAGAACTAGTCGTTTTCTGTGCTTCCCCGATTCCATCCCTTCCCTGTGCTATTCCTGTCCCCATCTGTCCTCGCTTTCCAGCCCATGACCCTGTCTATTCCCCTGCCAGCCAAGCCCTGGAGGGCAGATGGAGGAGGCCGTGGGGACTGTCAAGCAGACCCTAGACAGAGGCTGTGTCAGGTCTGAAGATGAATCTGTGGAAGCTAAGAGAGAGCGAGCCTCGGTATGTGGTAGACTCTGAGGGCCCTTTGAAGAAGACTGGCTACAGGAGCTCAGGGAACAACTCCCTACATGTGTCCCTGGTTTCTCTTCTCCCAGGGCCCCGAATCCCCTGTGCAAGGCCCCCGCATCAAACATGTCTGCCGGCATGCTGCTGTGGCCCTGGGTCAGGCCCGGGCCATGGTACCTGAAGATGTCCCCCGCCTCAGTGCCCTCCCTCTCCGGGATCGGCAGGACCTCACCACAGAGGGTAGGGGGTTGTGTTGGTGGAGAGGCTTAAGAGCCCTGTCAGGTTTGGGGTTGAGCAGTTGTACCAGGAGCCTAGGAGAAGAGGAGCTGGGGGTGTTGGTCAGGTGGCAAGTGGATTGGAATGCTAGGTCTTTGGTAAAACAGATTGGGTTTGGATACCTGGAACCTGTCAGTTCTAGGTATGTGGGGAACAATGGAGGCCAGAGGGCTGACTGAATGAGATCTGAAGGAGAACAGGGAAGTGAGGTAGGATGCTTGCTGGCCTTGTGGCTCCATTTCCTCACTCTCTGGTACATAGATACGTCCTCCGCATCTGAGACTGAAAGTGTCCCATCCCAGTCTCAGAGGGAAAAGATGGAATCAGCAGGTCCTGGAGGAGACCTGGAGCCTGCAGGGTCTGGAGGGGTTCTGACCCATACACCCCGGCGCTCACTGCCCTCTCACCATGGCAAGAAGAT